TCTCATTCAGCAGATCCACTGGGGGCGGCAGCGACGCAAAATTGGTCAAATCCTTATCTCCTAGAGGCTTGGGGCGTGGTCGGACTTGCTCCTTCATGACCAGCTTAGGCGCATGGCCTAACTGTGATTTTTTATACTTGTCTGCCTTGGCGAATGTCCTTTTATCCTCTGCCTCCTACTTCTTCCTCCTCGCCTCTAACTCTTCCGGCGCAGGGTCTTCCTCAGTTGGCTGTGGCTCCAGACTTAAGGCAAACAAGGTTGAAAGCTGGATAAGGTCATCCCACTTCACGTCCTCCTTCTCCCTCCACTCCTTCACCTGTTTAACCCTATTCTCTGCCTCTACCCCCAGCCTTGACTCTACCGACTTGATGAGAATCTTCCACATTGTACGCACCCCCTTCCGCCATTTGCTGATACGTAAAACCACCTTGGTTTCCACCCCTTCATCGACGATAGTAAACTCGTCACTAATCCTCTACCCGCCACTGCTGCAAGGTCACCTATGTTTCTTGTTGACCGAAGGCCTTGTTGCATGAAAAAAACTCCTCCACTGTCATCGTTGCTCCCCTGGTCGCCCATGGCCATACGATTGCACAGGCCAGTAATATCTTCCATGCGTTGGGCATCAGTTGCCCTGGCGCCACCTCCAAACGGTTCAACACATCCACCACTATTTGTGGGAGCGGTAACCTCAGACCCCCCCACAACGCTTCCTCGTACAATGTAAACTCCATCGGACGTGTATCTGGCGCCCTCTCCTTAGACGTCGGCAACTTCAACTCTATCTCCACTAGAATCTGGTATTTCTTCTGCACCTCCTTTAACTCCTCTGCCATAAATGTCAATTTGTCAGCCTTGGTGTGCCAGTGGTCAGGTCCCACTTGGCTAATCGGCCTCGCGACCACAATCATTGTGGACGGACGAGGTTACGCCGCTTACTCCGCCCCTCTTTCCTCCTGCCTCTCTGTTCTATATTGCTCCGCCAACTCCACCGCATCGTCTTCACCTAACGCCTCTAACCTCATGGTTGGCGCTTTGTCTCGAGCCATCTCTTTTATGTTTCTGTATATTGCTTCGGACGCAGGCGTGAGGAAGTTCGCAAACTGTTAGAGCGGAGTGTCACACGAAACGAATAAGGTCAGGTCTGGGATGTGTTGGTTTCTCGCAATGAGGTATGTAAAACAGATAACTCCAAATGCCCACGGTTTGCCTATTTTCCAAGGATCGAGATTAGATTTCGCCAGTTTGAAAATTTCAAAAGTTACAACCCTCGTCTTTTCCACGTCCTATCCTAGTCCTAACCTTTCGCTTCCTACTAACGCATCACCTCCCTCACCACTAGTTTAGATCATCCCACGTATACAGCCACGATTCCCCATCCTTTTTCCCTTCCCCGTCTATTTCACTTCACATCATCACGTGCCTCATTGCTCATCGAGCCCTGCGCACCGCCACCACCTCTCGCCCCGCCCCCCTTTACGGTTGGTCCTCCTCTCGGACGGTCTTCACGCTCGGCCCTCCATCGCGTTCGGCCCTTCTCTCGGACGGTCTTCGCGCTCGACCCTCCTCTTGGTCGGTCTTCTCGCTCGACCTCCTTTTACGGTCGGCCTCCCTTACGATCGGCCCTCTCGCTCGGCCCCACACACTTCCCATATTCCTTTTTATTCCTTTTGTTGGATTAAAGTTGCAATTGGGAATGGGGAACTACTGACATCGGTGGGCCCACAAAAGGTTCTGGCCCATCACTTAGAGCCCAATTCACGGTTCAAGTACTAAAGCCCAACACCCTTGAGAATCCAACGTTGAACCACAAACCAATGGCATCTAAACACTTGTCAAGTAGAGAACCAGCCACGTAAGCAGACAAAGATCCTGCCGAGTTATTGCACCACATATCAGCCATTAATGAGGCTTCCATAGCATTAAATGCAACAACCCCTTCACGTCGGAACAGGCAATCTCACCGTGAACAATGCAAGTTAGAGTATAGACTTTCGGCCAACACGACAAGTCAGAGTGGATAAGGAAATGATTAATAAATGATATAAGGAGGTTTCCAAGACACATCAAAGGTTAAGTTCTCCTTTCTTCTTCTCTCCCTCACTCTCACTCTCTCTCTACACAGTCAATCTCCTATTTTCTAACTTGATCATCGGAAGGTCCGTTGGGGGACTCCTATTCCCTGTTAGACCTTTTGCAGGCACCACCAGCGAGCTCTGAGACCGGTGAAAGGTGTTGGAAACGTGGGTCGACCCGATTCGCCCTCCCTTGGATCAGCAACATCATCAAAATTAAATAATACCTCATTTTCTTCATGTTTTAGCCTCCGCATCATAAGTTTTGATTTTTGCCCTTTATATAGCTTATCAATGAATCCACACTAATAAATTAAGGTTAAGTGTACTCATAACAACGATGAGTCTACTATAAGATTATATTAGAATGACAATAATTTTGGAAAAGTATTCGTGTGTTTGATTTGAGTTTTTTGGATTAAATTTTTTAAAAATTAAGTTTTTTTTATTTTCGTATTTTTTTATTTTTTGTTTTTAGCGAATATTTTTAAAATTTTAAACATTTTTTTTTACTTTTTTTAGATGCACCTTACTTAAATGTATCTAAAAAGTAAAAAAATTGTGAAAAAATATTTTTAAAAATTAATAAATACATTCAGTATATTTTTTTATATTTTTGGTATTTAGTGAATTTTTAAAAGATTTTTTTCACAATTTTTTTGATTTTTAGGTGTATTTATGTCAGGTATGTCTAGAAAGGGAAAAAATGCTTAACATATTAAAAAAATTTAGTAAAAACAAAAAAAAATATAGAAAACAAAAAAGTAAAATTTTCTAAAAGTTGATTTTAGAAAAGGGAACCAAGCAAAGTGATTCGTATAAATTCAATTCTCTCTCTTGCATGGGAATCTCATATTCTTTAAAGAATATTAATCATTTAAGAATAAAATAAATAATTGAGTCCATAATATTTCTAAAATTATATTATTTTTCAGTAAGAATTTCTTATGAAATCAAACGCTTGAAAAATATGGGCAAAGAAATTTTAAAATTTAAAGTAACTAAAAAAAATCTAAAAAATTTATTACTTTCTCATTAAGAATTTCTTATGAAACTAGACACGTAAATAATAGGGATAATTATACCCCAGTGGGAACTTGAAATATGTATAAATATATTTATTAAAAAAATTATAATTATAATTATTAATATTTATAATTTTTTTATTAATTTATAATTATTTTTGTAAAATTTCACTGATGTGATATTTTTTCTGAATAATATTGACAAAGAAATTGTATGTTAAAAAATTATAAAAAATGACCATCTAAAAAAAATACTCAAAATTTTGTATGTTCCTTCGGGTTATTATATTGGATGTATTCTAGCTGTTTTTGTGCCTGTTTGGTGCAGCTTAAAAGTTGCTTATTTCAGCTTTCAGTTTAATTTAAGCTATTTTGATGTGTTTGATTTAGCTTAACAATGCAGCTTATAGTTTTTGTAAGTCAGAAATCAGCTTATTCTTTGAGTGAGGCAGGAGATGCTTAATTTATAAGTCAGAAATCAGCTTATGTTCATAGTTATAAGCTATAAGCTGTTAAGACATAAGCTATAAGTACTTTCTCACAGCTCTACCAAACAGGCCCTTTGTGTAACTTAGCGTATATTAAAAAGTAGGGTAAATTATAAATACATTTTTGAGATTTGCTTAAAATATAAATTATCTCTTATGGTTTGAAAAATTACAAATATTTCATTGTCAGAATTTTTTATTTAATAGAATTAATTAAAAAAGTAAAATTTTTAATTGTTCACATATATAATAATAAAATTATCTGAATTATTAATTGAAATAAAATTTTAACATTATTAAAAATTGTTAATTAACTTGATAATTTATTAATAAAAAGACATATTTGTTTAGAAACTTTAGGAGGCATAATGTAATTTCTAAAACCACAAGAGATAATTTGTAATTTAAATAAATCACAATGGGTGTATTTGTAATTTACCCTAAAAACTAATAATCACAAAATAAAAGTTAAAAATTTAAGTTATTTCTTCTTTTTCGTACAAACTTTCCACAAAAGAAAAAAAAATTAAAATTATACATCACACCAAACAATTCCAAAATTACGGTATTAGATGAAAGTTTTTTTTTTTTTTTGGGTTTTTTTTTTGGGGGGGGGAAAAATCATTTATTGTTTCATCAAATTTAAATTTGATGATTTTTTTTTTTTTTGTTGCTCTAATCGTTTTCTCATATGTGTATTAAATTGAAAATATGATAAATTTTTTACCAAATTGAAGACGGTTGGAGCCTTTCATCATTTCACTGTTCATAGTCATTGAAGTTACAGGTTATTTTCACCACCGGATGATCAGTTAGATGTTCAGCTAATTATCCTCTTGAATGACCACCTCCTTACAAAAAATTTTAAAAAAATTATACTGACCAGTCAACCGACCAGACATCCGCCTGATCCTCTAATATTTTGATGAAATTTATTGAAGCGCGTAATATCAGATAAAATTTTTACTTAAATTTAATAATAATAATAAAAAGGATACAACATGCTCTTATATTAGTATAAATTTTTAATAAGGGTTTCTAACCAAATTTCCTAAAACAATATAAAATCCAATATTAAATTATGTAATTCATGTTAACAGCTTCGTTTGACATTTATTTTTTTAACTTAAAAAAAAATATAAAAGAAAAAATAAATTAAATAAATTAATAAGAGAAAATATAATGTCTAAATTATAATTATTTTATTTTTTCTCTTATAAAACTATAAAAAAAAAAGTAAAATGAAACAAATTTTTTAATGCACCGCCTTATTTGGGGACTAAATATTTAAGTTAAAAAAGTTAAAAAATCATTATAAATTATTATATCACTCCTTCTACTTTGCTATATATCTTTTCATAAAAAAATAAAAAAATTACAAAAATAATTTATTCCCAAACAAATAGTTAAAAAAAAAAACAATTGACAAACTGCAAATAAAACAAGTTTTCATGTGTTCAAGCAAAAACCCTAGTTGCATAGAGGGGGGAGAGAGAGAGAGAGAACAGCTGAAGGAAAGAAGCAAAGCAGTCGCCGGCCGAATCGTTTCAGGTAATACCACTCTCTCTCACCCTCTGAACCTTTCTCTCTCATCTTTCCTCTTCTTCTCCCTAACCTTTCTCTTTCGTATTCTTCACCCACCGTAAATCTGTAGTAATTGCCAACAGAGGAAAAAAGCTTTTCTCATAACCTGATTATGCTCAATTGGTTCGCTTCTCTTTACATTTCTTACATGTTCTCTCACTTTCGTTTGATTTATTTGGTTTTTAGGATTTTGGGTTTTTGGATTTTGGTTTGCTCAAAGATGTGTCTTTAATTCTTGTTCAGATATAAATGTTGCCCTTAATTGTTCTCCATATTCTCTGTTATTGCTGTATGATTTTAATTTTAATTTTTATTGTTATGTTATAGGAAAATGTCATAATGTTCTTTGCATGAAAACATGTAATATATACTGTTTGTTTTAATTTTTATTGTTATCTTTTAGGAATCATTTATTATTATCTGAATGATTTATGTTTTGATGCTTAAGCTTGGAATATATGTTTTTAAAATTCTAATTAGTGTTATGTTGCATTTTCTTCCTCATCTTTGAATAAATTACTTATAATGTATATATATACTTTTTCCCGTGTCCGTGTCCGTGTCCGTGTCCGTGTCCGTGTCTTGTCGTGTCATGTCATGTCCCGTTGTGTCTGTGTGTAGAGTGTCCATAGTTCTTTGCTTTGTTGGAATATGAAGATGGTGAGAAGCACGTATAATCAAATCTTACATTGAAAATTATAGAATTCAAGTTGGAAATTTATCAAGGTAATGCATATGAAAAGAAATCTATTACTGTAATAATTTATAATTCATTAATTTACCTGATGGACTATATAAACTTGAATTGCATTGTCTTTAAAAAGTGAATTTCGATTCAATTGTCTGAATGGAAGTTTTGAGTCCCCTCCTCTTATGAAGTTCTTGCCACTATCAGGAGAAAAGGAAAAAAAGAAAGAAAAAGAAGTGATTATGAGAGTGTTTGATTTAGGAAAAATGTTAATTCTCTTTATAGAGAAGCATTCTGGCATTTGTTTTGTATGCTAACTGTAGAGTCTGAACTAACACAGAGCTGATCAGAGTTTTTTTTTTTTTTTTTTTTTTTTAAAGTTTTATTCTTGTAAAATATAGAATTTATTTTGAAGTTTTAGTGTTGTAAAATATATTAAAGTGTACCCAAATTTTCCGTAATACACACTATCCATTGTAACACCCTCACACACACTAAACTAACATACCTTAACACATAAAATTGAGTCCCACTTTTATCACCTTGTGTCATATAGCACATAATTTTAACATCTCCATTGACTAGTTGCTTGATTTGCTGAAAATTGTGCTTGTTTATGTGGTTAATATTTATTTAATTTTTGTGACTGCACGCGAAAAAAACAGCTGTGTAACTTTCCTCGTTGTTTTTCCACGTGCAGCCAAGTAATGGAACATCTAGGCACTATCTTGTGTTATTCCTCAATCTGTCATTAGCCAAAACGAGTCCAAAAAAAAAGAAAAAAAAAAAAGAACAAAACAGAGAGAGAGAGAGAATGACAACTCCACAGAAAGAAGATGAACATCAAGCAGCAAACCGTTCAATCGTTAACTGGAGAGGGAAGATAGAGGAACAGTACCGCAAAGTTAAAGAGAACGCAGAAACTTACCCCTATGTATGGGGTTCCTATATTGTTGTGTATGGTGGATTCGGCCTCTGGTTTGCCTACAGATGGAGGAAACTTCGCAAAACTGAGGACAGAGTTCGAGTTCTTCAAGAAAGGCTCCGCAAACTTGTTGAAACTGAAGCATCAACGAGTTCTCCTGCAGTAGGTGACAAGGCACCCCCACCTGCTGATAAAGCACCCAAATAGTTGGTCTATGCTCTAGTCATCTTTTGTCATTTTTCTTGCAGATTTTTACTGGTAAATGAGTTCTTAGATATTACTTTCTGGAAAATTAATTAAAATACATTCTTCTTACACAATCTGTTCAGATTTGAGGTTTTGATATGCTCTCGAAACCTGTCAATAGTTTACCATCCTCTTATATACTCTATTCTATTATTCTGTACTAGATAGTGCAAAGTATATTTGGAGAAGCTAAAAAAAGGAGTTCAACAGAATTGTGAGTGTATGTTGTAGATGTTCCATCTCATTTTCTATTGTATTGAAGTTGAGTTCACAGGCTCTTTATGAATGTTTTATCCGGTGATGCTGGTTGGTGCAATTACAAAGGATGACCAAATATTTGAACTTCTCAGAGAAAATATTGAAAAATATGGGTTTTTTTCAATTTCAGTATGCTGCCTTACATGTTGTAAAGGATCTAATAGCAAATTATGCAAGGAGCTGTTTGATAAATTGAAAACTAGGTACTAAAAAATACTCAATGTATATTGCCAAAATATTTAGGTATTGAATTTTTAAATTTGAAATTTTTTAGATAAAAATGTTAGTTGGGAATAGAAATGAAAACTAACTTCCATTATAAGCATATTCAGCATTCAATGATATATTTTGATAAAATTGAAAACCAGGTACTGAAATTTTTTGGTACTGAATCTCTATTGTTGAAATACAATCAGTTTTCGTAGCTCTTGGGACGAACAAATGTATTCAGTTTTAAGCAAGTTGTTTTATCAAACTAGGCCTAAAGTTGGTCTATTGTGGGATCTAATCTAAGATTTTGTTTGATTTTAAATTCCTGATGTGTAAATGTCAATTGCAACTTTGTAAGTGTGGGGATGCTTTACTACAATATAAAGTTGTCACGTCCCACCAAATTTTTTAGATAGAATTGCCTATTATGAGAAAGTCTCAAAGAAAGAGACTAATGGAATATTCTGAAAGTTCTTAGAAAACTTGAGAAAATGAGAGAATATGGTACATAATTCTATAATGTACCTTAAATGATCTAGAATAGGTTTTATAGCATTTAAGTGAATATTAAAGAGATGAAAACCCTAGAGAAATGGAGGTGGTAAAAGACCTTTATACTTGCTTCTAGAATGAGGTGGATGTTTACTTTTAGAATGATGTGGATGTTTGTATAGATATTTTTAAAAAAGATTCCAAGACTCTCTTGTAGGATAAGAAAAGCTTCCATGACAAACTTCTCCATAATTCTTTTCTTGTGTGTCCTAAATGCTCCAAAGGAGCCTATAAGAGTTCGTTCGGCATGAAGGTTTGGGTTGGGTTGGGTTAGGACTATTTTAACTACAAAAAAATAAAATATATTTTTTAATCTAATAAGTCAAAATGTCACATTTAAATCACAATTATTTCACTCTCTCTCTCACAAAAGTAAAAAAAAAAACAAAAATTCAATCTCAAACAAGGTTTTTTAGCCTCAGACAAAAATAGTCAAAAAGTCAAAAGCCAACTCACATCCCAAACGAAGACTAAATAGGAGAGGAACTCATTTGTTTCAATCTATCCAAGAGTTGTACAAGCTTTCTCAGAGTGAATACAAGGACATTCTCTCAAACTCTCTTTGTCTTCTTACTTGTCTTTCTTGCAAGTTTGTGAGTTGGGCTGACTTAACATCAACAAGTAAACCTTTTGATTGTCTAAGTGCTGCACGGAGTGCTTGGAAATAACGAAAACCGTGACAATATACTAAAATTTATCAAAAAGTTGAACTCGGCCCGCCACTTGTTGGGCTTGATTGTTCACACCAACCATACGTGCCATCAAATTGACAAAATTGAGCTGACGGAACTAAACAAGATTTGGCGAACGAATACAAAGGTCAAAAGCTTCATTATTGATCAAGTAAAATGAGATTATTTAGTAGAATGATTTTAGTCATTTTATTAAGTGATTTTCACAAGCAATGCGGAGTACAAATCGACTACGCTCTCTCTTTCAATTGAGCTAATTGCCTCGCCTCGCCTCACCTCACTTCACTAGTCAGAGTTGTGCTCTTCCTGAGCTGCTCTACTCACCTCACTTCACAAGCAATGCGGAGTACAAATCGACTACGCTCTCTCTTTCAATTGAGCTAATTGCCTCGCCTCGCCTCACCTCACTTCACTAGTCAGAGTTGTGCTCTTCCTGAGCTGCTCTACTCACCTCACTTCACAAGCAATGCGGAGTACAAATCAACTACGCTCTCTCTTTCAATTGAGCTAATTGCCTCGCCTCGCCTCACCTCACTTCACTAGTCAGAGTTGTGCTCTTCCTGAGCTGCTCTACTCACCTCACTTCACAAGCAATGCGGAGTACAAATCAACTACGCTCTCTCTTTCAATTGAGCTAATTGCCTCGCCTCGCCTCACCTCACTTCACTAGTCAGAGTTGTGCTCTTCCTGAGCTGCTCTACTCACCTCACTTCACAAGCAATGCGGAGTACAAATCAACTACGCTCTCTCTTTCAATTGAGCTAATTGCCTCGCCTCGCCTCACCTCACTTCACTAGTCAGAGTTGTGCTCTTCCTGAGCTGCTCTACTCACCTCACTTCACAAGCAATGCGGAGTACAAATCAACTACGCTCTCTCTTTCAATTGAGCTAATTGCCTCGCCTCGCCTCACCTCACTTCACTAGTCAGAGTTGTGCTCTTCCTGAGCTGCTCTACTCACCTCACTTCACAAGCAATGCGGAGTACAAATCAACTACGCTCTCTCTTTCAATTGAGCTAATTGCCTCGCCTCGCCTCACCTCACTTCACTAGTCAGAGTTGTGCTCTTCCTGAGCTGCTCTACTCACCTCACTTCACAAGCAATGCGGAGTACAAATCGACTACGCTCTCTCTTTCAATTGAGCTAATTGCCTCGCCTCGCCTCACCTCACTTTAGCTTATAGCTTATAGCTTTGTGGAAGTCAGAAAACAGCTTATTCTTTAAGTGGGGCAGGAGATGCTTTAAAAATAAACTGGAAATCAGCTTAAGCTGAAAGTTATAAGCTATAAGCTGTTTAGCCATAAGCTATAAGCACTTTCCCACAGCTCTACCAAACAGGGCCGTATTCAGTTTTAAGCAAGTTGTTCTATCAAACTAGGCCTAAAGTTGGTCTATTGTGGGATCTAATCTAAGATTTTGTTTGATTTTAAATTCCTGATGTGTAAATGTCAATTGCAACTTTGTAAGTGTGGGGATGCTTTACTACAATATAAAGTTGTCACGTCCCACCAAATTTTTTAGATAGAATTGCCTATTAGGAGAAAGTCTCAAAGAAAGAGACTAATGGAATATTCTGAAAGTTCTTAGAAAACTTGAGAAAATGAGAGAATATGGTACATAATTCTATAATGTACCTTAAATGATCTAGAATAGGTTTTATAGCATTTAAGTGAATATTAAAGAGATGAAAACCCTAGAGAAATGGAGGTGGTAAAAGACCTTTATACTTGCTTCTAGAATGAGGTGGATGTTCACTTTTAGAATAAGGTGGATGTTTGTATAGATATTTTTAAGAAAGATTCCAGGACTCTCTTGTAGGATAAGAAAAGCTACGATGAGAAGCTTCTCCATAATTCTTTTCTTGTGTGTCCTAAATGCTCCAAAGGAGCCTATAAGAGTTCGTTCGGCATGAAGGTTTGGGTTGGGTTGGGTTAGGGCTATTTTAGCCACAAAAAAATAAAATAGATTTTTTAATCCAATAAGTCAAAATGTCACATTTAAACCATAATTATTTCACTCTCTCTCTCACAAAAGTAAAAAAAAAAAAACCAAAAATTCAATCTCAAACAAGGTGTTTTAGCCTCAGACAAAAATAGTCAAAAAGTCAAAAACAACTCACATCCCAAACGAAGACTAAATAGAAGAGGAACTCATTTGTTTCAATCTATCCAAGAGTTGTACAAGCTTTCTCTAAATAGAAGAGGAACTCATTTGTTTCAATCTATCCAAGAGTTGTACAAGCTTTCTCAGAGTGAATACAAGGACATTCTCTCAAACTCTCTTTGTCTTCTTACTTGTCTTTCTTGCAAGTTTGTGAGTTGGGCTGACTTAACATCAACAAGTAAACCTTTTGATTGTCTAAGTGCTGCACGGAGTGCTTGGAAATAACGAAAACCGTGACAATATACTAAAATTTATCAAAAAGTTGAACTCGGCCCGCCACTTGTTGGGCTTGATTGTTCACACCAACCATACGTGCCATCAAATTGACAAAATTGAGCTGACGGAACTAAACAAGATTTGGCGAACGAATACAAAGGTCAAAAGCTTCATTATTGATCAAGTAAAATGAGATTATTTAGTAGAATGATTTTAGTCATTTTATTAAGTGATTTTCACAAGCAATGCGGAGTACAAATCGACTAAGTCACAAAAAAAGGTTTGGGTTGGGTTGGGTTGGGGCTATTTTAGCCACAAAAAAATAAAATAGATTTTTTAATCCAATAAGTCAAAATGTCACATTTAAACTATAATTATTTCACTCTCTCTCTCACAAAAGTAAAAAAAAAAAAAACCAAAAATTCAATCTCAAACAAGGTTTTTTAGCCTCAGACAAAAATAGTCAAAAAGTCAAAAACCAACTCACATCCCAAACGAAGACTAAATAGAAGAGGAACTCATTTGTTTCAATCTATCCAAGAGTTGTACAAGCTTTCTCAGAGTGAATACAAGGACATTCTCTCAAACTCTCTTTGTCTTCTTACTTGTCTTTCTTGCAAGTTTGTGAGTTGGGCTGACTTAACATCAACAAGTAAACCTTTTGATTGTCTAAGTGCTGCACGGAGTGCTTGGAAATAACGAAAACCGTGACAATATACTAAAATTTATCAAAAAGTTGAACTCGGCCCGCCACTTGTTGGGCTTGATTGTTCACACCAACCATACGTGCCATCAAATTGACAAAATTGAGCTGACGGAACTAAACAAGATTTGGCGAACGAATACAAAGGTCAAAAGCTTCATTATTGATCAAGTAAAATGAGATTATTTAGTAGAATGATTTGAGTCATTTTATTAAGTGATTTTCACAAGCAATGCGGAGTACAAATCGACTACGCTCTCTCTTTCAATTGAGCTAATTGCCTCGCCTCGCCTCACCTCACTTCACTAGTCAGAGTTGTGCTCTTCCTGAGCTGCTCTACTCACCTCACTTCACAAGCAATGCGGAGTACAAATCGACTACGCTCTCTCTTTCAATTGAGCTAATTGCCTCGCCTCGCCTCACCTCACTTCACTAGTCAGAGTTGTGCTCTTCTACTCACCTCACCTCACTTCACAAGCACATGCTCATTGTGCTGTTCCTGAGCAGATTGGGTATTTAAAGAATTATGTTGACAGAGCTACTTCTTGCTCTGTCCGGTGCCCACCAAAACGCAGACTCTACTCACCCACTACAGACTACTGAGACTATTCCACTATAGATTAATGGTCTTCCTACCTTGTTGACTGATTCAAGGATGAAGGAGTTAAGACAGATGAAATGAACATAGACAACATTGTAAGCTCTAATGTGCTCGCTTGTTTAGGGGAAGAGGTTATTCCCATTACAATCAATCAGGCATCCCAAAGAAAAGTCCTATACATAGCTAAACACAAGGCTGGTTCAAAGGCGCAAAATGTACCTAATGATGGTGATTTTAATCCATTTAACGGCAATGTCAAGTCACCTCCTATAAGGCTTGAAGTGATATTCTTGGAATTCAGAACCAAATGTTATAGACTCTTCCTCAAGCTTCTTTTTCAATCTTCTCCATGTTCTCAACCTATTAGACTGTATTAAGCCTCGGTATAGAGTCTCAAAAGTCACCTTTTGCGGAAGTAAACCCCTCTCTATCATTTCAACGAAAAACTTGCAAGCTTGTTTCCACTTCTGTTTCTCACAAAATGCATGAATTAACAATGTATACGAATCTAAATCCGGTCCATTCCCACTAGCCTTCATATCATCCCAAATCTCTTTCACAATCTCCATTCGATCTAACTTCATGAACATCCCCACTAAAATATTGTGCGTGTGTGAACTAGGCAAGTTCAAAGATTCTTCTTTCATCTTCCGATACAATTTCAAAGCCCTATCCGAATCTTTCCTCCCCCTATACTCCTTGAAGAAACAGTTATAAGTTGCGGCAGATGGGCTAACCCCATTACAAACCATCTCATCAAGCAATTCCTCAGCTTCTTCGATTCTCCCACACGAACTAAGACATTTCACAACTGAAGTATACATCGCGACACTTGGGCATATCCCTTTACTTTTCATAAACTTTAATTTATCGAGCGACAATGCAGGTTTATGCGCACGACTGTAAACGTGAAGCACAATCGAGTAACTCGTGACGTCAGGCTCTATCCCTCTCTCACGCATTTCATCAAACACCTTCTCTGCAGCTCGAACGGTCCTCTCAAACCGATCCTCCGGATGCAAACTCGATTTCCTACAAATCCCATTCAAAAGCACATTATAAGTAACAACATTCGGTTCGATCCCTCGATCCACCATCTCTCTAAAAAACCTCTCTCCCATCTGTGGCTTGTTGATCTTACACCAGCCATATATCAAAACAGTGTACAATTTCACATCAGGCTCAAATTTCCACTTCCTTTTATTGAAAATCTCCGCAGCTGCTTTCACATACCCATATTTACAAAGGGTATCGAGAAGGAAACAAAAATCATCAGAATTGACTTGATTTTGGATGAAACACTCCATATCATCGAACGCACGAATCGCTTGGCGAGTCAACCCAGCAGAGACTAACCTACGGATGAGAATTCCAAAAGTGGTGGAATCGAGTTTAACATTGAGTTGATCCATTTCGATGATGAGCTGCCAAGCGACGTCGAATTGGCGGACTTTGGCGAGAATGTCGATGATGAGGTGGTAGGAGGTAGAGTCGTGGGTGTAATTGGGTTGGGATTTGGCCCAGATGAAGAAAGAGAGGGCGATTTTGGAGACGTTTTTGAGGCGGATTAGGGTTTGATGGACGATTTGGGGGGAGAGGGTGATGATGCCATTGAGTTGGAGAGAGGATTCCATGGTGTGAAAAGGGTTGTGGTGTTGGAGGAGGATTTGGGAGATGAGTTGGGCGTCGTGTGAGGGTTGGAGAGAAGGAAGAGAGGGTTTGGGAGATTGTGAAAAGTTGACTTGTTGGTCGAGGTCTGGAGGTGCTGGAGACAAGTCATTGTTGGCATCGAGAAAGGAAGACAAGGCTCGAATTGCAGAGAGAGAAGGGAATCGCAGCGAAGTGATCATGGAACGAGTGGAGCTGAAGCTCTTCGCCACCATTGACGCCATTGAAGCACACAGTCTCTCTCTCTCTCTCTCTCACAAAGTGAAAAAAACTGGTTCGTTAAACCCGGGGAAGGCGAGGAATACCGAAAATGGCAGAAAACTGGTTCGTTAGAGCGTCTCCAAGAGGCACGTTTGGGGCTTTTTCATATTAACCTATTTTGTATCTTAATTCTCAAATTAGGTTTAGTTTCTATGGAATTTTCAAAAGCGTTATTACAAATCGCACTTTCACTGTTTGAAATCCAAATTGTGTTGAATAGCGAAAGCGCTATTACAAATCATACTTTTAATTAAGAAAGCGTGGTTGCAAATCACGTTTTTAAGGTAAAAAAAAATTCTGAAGAAAACGCTATTTAAAATCGCGCTTACACTGTTCATGAAGAAAACGCTATTTGAAATAGCGCTTTCACAGTCCATTCCTTTTTTGAAAAAAACGCTATTTGGAATAGCAGTTTCACTGTGCACTTAATAACACGCTATTTGGAATGACGCTTTCAGTGTTGCTCAACACTTATATAAGACATCCAAGCCAATCACGTTTTTTACACTTTGGATTAACTGATTTTGCTCTCAGACTCGATCTCCCTCTGCTCTCACACTCTCTCGCTCTCGATCTCGCTCTGCTCAACTCTCACTGTCGCTTTCGTTCTCCCTCTGCTCTCTGCTCTCTCTCTCTCTTTGTGGTATGGCATCTAGCTCTGTTTTTTTTTCTGAATTTTATGTATTTATTTATTGTGTTTGTGAAAATGTGAATATGTGTTTGTGAAAATGTGAATGTTAGGGTTTTAAATGTCAATTATTAAATGTGTTAGGGTTGTAATGTGTTAGGGTTTTATCAGTGTGGTTATGAAATTATAAAATCATAAAATGTTAGGGTTTTGAATTGTGAAATCAGAAATTATGCTTGTGGTTTCAGAAATTCGGGTTTGGAATTTTTTGAAATCAGAAATTAGGGTTTGGAATTTTTTGAAATCAGAAATCAAGGTTTGGAATTAGGGTTTGGAATTTTGCTTCTGAATCAGAAATCAGAAATTATGCTTGTGAATAAACTAACCTATATTTGTTGAATTGGAATTATGAAATGTCTATATTTTGAAATTTGAAATCATAAATTGAAATTTGAAATTATGCTTGTGAATCAAAATGTCTATATTTTTTGAAATTAGGGTTTGGAATTTTGAATTGTGAATAAATCAACCTATATTTGTTGAATTAGAAATTTTATTTTTTGCTTGTTAAGAGAAATTAAAAGGAAATTAGAGTTTGAAATTAGGGTTTTAAAAGTAATTTTTTTTAATTAAGAATAAAATTTAAAAAATTGAAATTCATATAATTGATAATTGTTAATGTCATATTATGAAATTCATATAATTGAGAATTGAAATTCATACTATGAAATTCATGAATTGAGATATTTATGAGTAACATAACTAAGAGTTTGTTTGAATTGGAATTTAGAATTTTTCATGAACCAAATAACATATGGCCCCATGAGTGTGGACTTTTCACCAATTATTCCTATTTTAAATTGATAATGTTATATATATTAATAAATTTTTATTATAAAAAAAAATTAACTACTAGTATAACAACTATTACATCATTAAAATAATTCATGCTTTAATTTTAAAAAATTTATTAGTACATGATATATCAATTATTAAGAATAATTTATAAAATTTATTAATTTGTATAATGTTTTTCATTTTGTATATGTTATATATGAAGTTGATGTGTTAAAGTCAATTTGCTTTAATCATGTATACAGTTAGAGTATTCTTTATTTGTTACACATAATTACCAATATACATAGCATGAATTGTTGACTTTATAGTTGTATATTCATTTTTTTATTCAGTTTCTACATCAATTGGTTGGCATAATCTAGAACTAAGTAGGTAAATTTCATTTTCGATTTGCCACTAACCCAAATAATACTGACCTACAAAAATCTGTAAGTCCAATCACTTGTATAGATATTATGGTACACTATAAGGAATATTACCTTATTTTGTATTCACCCAAAAAACATTACCTTATTTTGTGAAAATAGCTTTTTAAAAAATAAAAATTGATAAAAAAAATTATGTTTATCACCCATTAAAAAAAAAATTAAAAAGAAAACCAATTTCATGTTAATTTTTTTAACTTATAAAAAAGTCAAAATAATCATTAAAAAAATAATATCAAACAAGTTTTTAGTCATATTATTTATAAATTAAGAGGTCAGTAAATCAATTTTTACTTAAAGGCAATGGATGATTAGTGAAAAACATAAACGCATGACTTTCCAAGAGTACCTAATAATTTTTCCTCATTAAAAAAATATCAAACAAACTCTTAGTTATGTTACTCATAAACCAATAATTCATATTATGTTACTCATGAATTGGAATTTTTCCTCATTGAAATTCATATTATGTTCTCTTAAATATTTAATTTTGACTCTATTTTATTCCAAAAAAAATATTTTTATTGACTTCAAAATAATAAATAAAAAGATCATATTCTCCCAAAATATTTAATTTTGACTCTATTTTATTCAAAAAAATATATTTTTATTGACTTCAAAATAATAAATGAAAAGATCATGTTCTCTCAAAATATTTAATTTTGACTCTATAACCTGCAAATAAAAATATTTTGGTTTAGTTTCGTTTAATTTATTTCACTGTATTTGGGATCCGGCATCCAGAATATGATTAAAAAAATTTAGGATTTATTTTCATTTCGGTTTCGCTAAAGGTTTTCACTTAGTTGTTAACTATGTAAATCCATATTTTAGGACATAACTTATTGCAGGTGCCTGCATATAAGCACATAATTATTTGTAAATTATATGTAAGATCGGACTGCACTCTGTGCCTCCAAGCTAACCAACCAACCAAAAAAATTTAATTTTGGGAGGTGCCGCATTCTTCCACAACCATTTGGAAAATCAAACCAAACAAATTTTTTTGGGTCAAATTTATTTATATTTTTTCAAAAAAATTAAAAATAATTTAAACAATCAAACCAAATCGCTATATCATGTATTATTTTTAATATAAATTCAATAAAATTAATAATTTTTTTAAAAAATATTAACTTTGATATTAGAATAATTTGAAGACATTTCATCATAAAATACTAACATTTAATTTTATAATCTGGTCATAGAAATTTTAAAAAATTTAATGAGCTGAATTTGTAATACATATAATAGCATTATAGTAGAAATTAAAATTTTCTCACAAAACTGAAGAAAATTTGAAAAAGTTTTTGAAATGGGTATTGAATGAAGTGACTTATCGCCACTTCCGCTTTGTGACTGTCCATCACCATTGAAAAGGAAAATCTGAACATTATGTTTTAATAATTTTTATTTTGAGTTATATAATTAGAAGTCATTATTACACTAGTTATAATATATGCATGAAAAGAGTCTTAAAATATTCTAATTAATAGTCCAAAGCAATTTCGTAGATAAGAACGACAAAAAAAAAATGACACTTTGATGGGTAAGCCTGTGTTTCATAATACCAAATAATTGGTACGGATAACCCAATAGATTCACATGAATAACTATCCAAAATTTACTACATAGATTTAACTACCGACTTAAATTTTCTCTCTAATTTTTTGCCATTATAAATTATCTTTCTAATTATTTTTTTGTTTTTGTATGTTTAAGAAAAAAAAAAAGAGTAAATACATTTAATTTTTTTCTTACTTTTCAGAACGAGCCAAAATGAGTTTTTTGTTTTAATTTCATAACAAAGCCTTTATAATCTCTAAAAAGTGGACGAGGGTTACTAGTTCACATTGGAAATAACTTTGTCATTAAAGTCCCTAATGGCACAAGTTTGAGCAAATCAAATTAACTTATCTGTAATTGTCCATAAATCTAAAGAATTGGATCACCAGTTTTAAAAAATTAATAACAATGTTTGAAACCTTTATTTTATATTGTCCAAATCAATCGAGTTCTTTTAACTCAATGGAACAAATATTTAATTATCTACAAAACTTACACTATGATTTAAGATGTTTGTATGATTTGTCCAATTTTGTCCAATCTCACTGAATAAGAAAAATACTTGATAGAATGAAGTGTTTTTTAAATGTGTGATATATCTGTCTACCTTATCAAAATAATAAAAAATAGATCAAGATTTATGAAAAGAAAACAAAATAAGTGTTTTTAAAATTGGTCCCGCTTACATGCGTACGATTAAATCATTGCCCAAATTAACGGTTGTGTAGAATCATTATTATTTATTTATTTATTTATTTTCAATGAATGCCTTTTAAAAATTGATCATATTGAGGGAGGGAGGCCCTTGCCGCAATGGTAAGGTTGTTTTATTATGCTAATAATAATATAAAATAAAATAAATCTATTATAATTCGAGTGTTATGGATTCAAATCATGGAAATAATGGGCTTCTTTGGTTTGTTTTTCATATAAAATGTTGGGAAAATTTCTCTACAAACAAATTTTCAAGAGTAATCAAACCAAACAAATTTTTTCAAATAAAATCTCAAAATTTTGTTTGGTTACCTACTTTCCAAAATAACTTTCTCTGTCATACACATCAAATCAATCACTTTTTGTAAAACTCTCTCCCCAAAAAAAATTTCCATAACCATTTCTGAAAGAAGGCAAACCAAATAAGACCGCATACTTTTTATTTCAAAAACACTCTAGAAACACAAACCAAACACACCTCTTTAAATACTTAATAATATGCATGCATATATCTGATCTTCCTCTAAACTCTGCCATGACTGTAATATTTGGAATTGTCCCTTTATGGATCTTGTAAATCAAAATGGGTCACTAGCTAAAAATCTTGTAGTTTTGTTATAAACAAACAAAATT